AATTCTTGTTTTTACCGATATCTTCAAGTATGGTTTGCAAATGTACTCCAGATGATCATGTGATGTCCTGATGATGCTTTAACAAATCCTCGTCATCTATATATTGATTGATTTTCTTCTGTATTGCACCTTTAATTACTTTTATTTTTGTATCTTTATTTGTGCACGAAATTAAAGAAAAGGGAAAAAATATATTAAGCTGATTCTATTTCAACAAATTCTTTTAAGAGACTTAGCCTAATATTTATGTTACAAACATGAATCTGTCTTATACAATTCACCTTGAATTTATCAAAGAAACAAGCTATTTTCTACTTATAAGTTCATGGTCATGTATTAGGGTGTCCTCAAGCGCCGAAATCAATTGATTGGAAAAAAATTTTAAATAGTTAGGGGCCGAAAAATTGATCAAGTGAATTGTCACTTCATTGAAAAAGTCTGGAAGTGCAGGCCATTTTTTTTTCATAGGGTCAACGCTGATTGGCTAATACTGCTTATTAATAGAGTAAAAAAGAGGTTGTTCAAGCACTTTGCTTTACGTCATGGATCTTTAGCGAAATTATAGTCATTAAAAAATTATTGCGTTGCTCAAAGAGCAAAACTTTTTATTAAAAATTTTTAATATTCAAATCTTCTTGTTCGAAGTTGAAGGAGCAAAAAGCTGTGAATATTGTTGCTGCAAACAACATATGAATATTCGTAAAGTCTATAAAAGGAGGAATTGGGCACTTGGAGTTGCCGAAGTTACATTTGTTTGTTGAAGTGTTGCCGAAGAAGTAGTTACATTTGTTTGTTGGATTTTTGTTCTTTTTTTTTTTTTTTGTTACGATTTGCTGAGGACATAGCGATAATAGAGTAACAGCAATGATTGCAATCATTATTACGATCAATAATAATAATTGAGAACCATCTCAATCACTATCAGATCACATTGAGGGAGTTACTTGAGAACGCCCTTAATCAATGAATTCTATGGTACAAGTTATGTCGATATTCTGCGTCAGTCACAGATTTTGTTAATTAATCGACCTACTTCACCGATTAACAATCAACTTAGGACTTATTATAAAGGAAAAAATAAACAAAAAGATTTAATTTCTTTGTTATTTTCTTTATTACCGTATAGCCGCGTGATAATGCATATGGGCGTTATTTCGAAAATTCGATTTTTTGAAAATCGTCAAAATAACGCCCATGTGCGCTCCACATACATAGCCTCAGGTAAGTTTTTAGTAGTTGTAACTTTTTTCTTCAAAATTAGGATAATTTTCGCGCATGTACGTTCTGAAATAACGCACAGATGCGCGCTATTACGTGCCTATACGATATTTAAATACTGTAGTAATTTCGTAAGGAAAATTTTTCTTAATTTTTTACATAATGTTTAAGTGGATCTACTTTAGTATAGGTGGCACAATATAGAAATATTATATAAAAAACTCTAACCCTGATCCTAATCTAACTCTAACCCTAACTCTATTTATAAATTGCTTAAATTAGTTCAAATAGCTATTTTTATATATTATAATCCTATAATAATTCTATATGTGCCACCTATACTAAAGATCAACCGTTTAGGTTACTCAAAAAAATTACAGCCAGCCTTTCTATAACGAATTGACAGCTTTAAAGAAAAAGTTCATTATACGTTGAAATTACTATGTAATTAAAAAATCCATAGCATTTTTATAACAAACTATATTATTAGAAAATTTAAAGTTCTTTATATCCAGAGTTTGTTATACGATTATGTACAATACAAAATTGTTTATTGAATAAAAATAAATTACTTCGTTAAATATTTTTTAAAACTTTCTCATAATAAATATATACTGTAATCTGTTAGGTTTTTTTAAAAAGGTTCGTTAAATTTACTGAGCAATTAAATGAGCTTAAATGAAGAAAATTTGAATTTTGGAGTAGTCGTCCGAATTGTCACGTGCTCGGCCGGAGTGCAACCTTTTCGGTATGTCAAAATATTAATAAGCAAGCATATAATCAACCAATCAAAATAATCGTACAATTTTAGTCTTTGCATGTTTTTTTATAAGCGGTTTCATAAGGGTTTCATAAGTGATTCATAAGATATTTTACGGTTTTATAAGCAAGTAAAAAACCAGCCATAAAATACAATCATCCCATTAATTTTATATTTCAATCCAGACAATTACGCAATACACATAAAATGATTGGATAAATTTTATAAAATGGCATCATTTAAGTTTTAATAATCATCAAATCAAAAAAATTTCCCATATATTACCTCGTCAACAATTAAATTGGTAAAGTTTCTAAATTTTTTATAACACAACTTCTGCAAATTCTTTCTTGTGTTACAAAATCGGTACATTAATAAGGATTTATTATGATGATATTACCAGCTAATCACAATAAAAGTTCGTTATGCTACATGGTATAAAAGATTAAGATCATTAGTCACCTTTTTAATATAGAGAAATATACCACTTTGCCCTTTGCCATACCATGGTAGTTTAGCATACCAATAGTGTCATGTCTGCGAAAGATGTTAAGTACATATAATACAGAAATTTATATAAAAAGAGGAATATAAAATACTCATGGTTTTGTTACTTTGTAAATTGGGAAACCCGGGGTCCGAAATTGTTTAATAATCACTATTGCGTTAACTTATGGTCATACGTCCAGTATAGCGATATAAATAGCACTTGAAGCAAGAACCTATTGTTACAGTAATTAAAAAGTGATCCAAGAACCATGGCCAAAGCCTGCAGCCTCACAAAGATGATCGACAATCATGCCTCCGTACCCGGATAACCGGATTAATATTCAATTTTAATATCGATATTAAGACATTCGATTAACTTATCCGGTTACTTAAAAGATAAGATAATGCATATGTGAGCGACGCCAAGGAAAATTTTGGACTTCAATTATATAAAACTTATATAATTAAAGTCCAATTTTCACTTGGCGCAATTCATATAATGTTTACATCAAATATATTAATCATGAAACAAGATCATTTTCGATCAGAAAAAAATGCAACTAATTGCATTTACTTAATAAGTATGCTAAACAAATGTGAAGGCAAAAATGCTTTGTAGAAATTTATACTGATCTAGTTTTTATAATTTAATAAATAAATTAAAAGTCCAGGTGATCATTATAAAAAATAATATGACAGCGCATTTTTATAGAGTATAACCGTTACCCTCTTACTTCGATAGGGTATAAAACCGGTTATTAGATTTCTGTAACCTTTTGAGTAAAAAGTTGACCGGGTATGACCACTAGATGGGAAGATTGTTGAAAAAGGAATTATTGATTGGGCGTAAAGGTCCAAAAATAGATAGATAAAATGAGGAAACTCACCCGATAGAATTTAAGTACAATCGAGAGTGTGGTGAGGAAAAAGTCTTAAAATAGCATAATTAGTAGCTTATACTGTATAAAAGTAACAACAAAATGATTAACAAAATACTTATCTGTGAGGAATTCCAATGAAACTGATACTCGCCCAAATCGTTTCACGCCTCTTCAACGTTCAGTGTAGGTGTGGAATGTTGATGTAGTTGTTGACCCGTTTCACTATCTAAGGTTAATAAAACATGAGCGATTCATCAAGCAATTTCTTAATGATGGACAGATTGATGAATGGTAAAACCTATGACGAACTATAATTAATAAAAAAATCGATGACGATTGATAAAGCATACGAATATCATTATTTCTTTCACAATATGTTAAATTTTTTCTATTAACATTTACCCGAAATTACCCGAAATTATCCGAAATTACTCGAAGGAAGGCTTTACCCCGGAGTATCCGATTGGTTAATGGGGAAAACTAATAAAAAAAACCTTGGTTTAATGAAATAACATTGATTTGAAAAATAATTAAAGGTTCAGTGTTCATTATAAAGAAGAAAGCCTAGGTTTCATTAATCGTCAGAAGTTTTGTTTATCGTTAAGGATTCGTCAGATAAGTGACGTTTCGTCAAGTATCACTAAGACATAATACGTACATACATTTAAATATTCGACCTATTATTTTATTATTATCCGTATTAATTATTAATATTTTCGTACTAAATTTAAAAGCATTATTAAGGATTATTAATGTTTTTTTTTAAAAAAAACAATGTTATGGCACGCACATTTTGTTAATATGAATATACTAATTCTGGTTAAAGGATTTGCCGGATCACAATATCGATGAAGAAATGGTCGGATTTTACCTGCGGATCAGCCCAATGCCGGAATTAGCTCACTAAGCCATCTGCGCACGTATATGATGATGATGACGAACAATTGTGATGATCCCATCATTTATGTAATTTACGTAACCGACGAATACATATACATTTTTTTCTGCGTATAAATAATAAATTTGTTGATTCGAAAATGGAAGAAATAAAACAAGCTATTGGAAATAAGCAATTCCACAAAATTTAATTACCTGGCGAAGCAAAGTAAGTAGGATAACCGTTACGTGTGTAGAACAAAAACGAACATTTTTTTTAACCACAATCAGTTATTCTAAATATAAAAAAGTAAAATGCACATTACAGCATTAGGAAAAGTTTCACGCCCAATTAAACCCCTTAACAAGTTACAAATAGATGAGTCATAAACTCATAAACTAAAACAATGAAATATCGATATGAACTAAATAAGAAATAGGCACAGTTGGTTATTATGAGCCAAAAATATATATATAAAGCTTTGTTTAGCGTTAGGACTTTTACCAAAACTTTATTAATAATAATTATTATTTAATAGAAGAGATAAACAGGCACTTGATAAACAAACACGAAGAATTTTATCGTGGTCAATATATGTTCTCTTGCTAAAACATTTAGAACATATTTCATTCATTAATACTTAAAATGTCATCTTTCGTGCTCAATAATGATCAACTAAAAGACGGTACGTACATACATGTGTGCATTTATTTTTAAATATATAACATATATAAATGTTATCGAATTTATTGTAACAAGAGCTTTAAACTAACAAATGTCTTTTTGTTCAGCCATTAATTTTAGTGCTAGCGTTAGCAATACCTGTAATATACAGGATGGTATACTACGCATAATGATTAGTAATATCCAATTGATCCTGAATGGAAATGTGATCTCAGCCACTGATAACCAAGAGAAAATCCAGATAGAAAAATACAATCATGAACAGGAACCTGCAGATCAGCAGCATCAACGGAAGATCGCTATAGCGAAAAACCTGGTTGGTAAGTACACTAAGTCATATGGATGAGATTTTTAAAATGCATTAATTAATAACAATAATTAGTAACAATAATTAGTAACAATAATTAATTAGTAACAATAATTAGTAACAATAATTAGTAACAATAATTAGTAACAATAAATTTTTAAATTATTAACACAGATACAACGGCATTAATTATTGATGTAATCTGGGATAAATCTTCCCCAAGTCTTAATGCGCAAGGCATTTCACTTCGTCTATTCATTCAAGAAATTTTACGTAGATCGAGAACTTCTTGGACCACCCTCCAAACGGCATTGTTTTATCTTTTACGGATAAAATCTAAAATTGCAACACTTCAACTTGAATCATTGACAAAAGAATCAACTACTAAAACTAATAATAACAAAAATGATCCGGCTACCTGTGGTCGTCGAATGTTTCTCGCATCACTTATAATAGCCTCGAAGTATCTCCATGATTGCAATTATGCCAACAGTGCTTGGTCAAAAATATCCGGTTTACCAATAAAAGATATTAATGCAATCGAACGACGATTTCTTACCCTTATTGAATATGATTTATTTATTAAAGATAATATTTTTAAGAATTGGACAAATTTTTTGAGATCACATATCTGTACTATTTCTGGATGTGAAGTTATTCAAAAAAATACATCGAGTATAGTCGAAAATCAACAAGCTATCACACAATTTGTCGAATGTAGGGTGTGAAATTAACGTACGTACTTCAGCTGTTAGTGAAATCTTTTTAATGCCGTAAACTTGTTTTTTTACTTATATTGTTTAAAGATAATATCAAATTTAATTTGTTCAATAAACATTTTTAGATCATAAAAAAAATCATTTTAATTATGAATAATTACAAAGTCGTGTATTTTAGTAATATATATGGCTTGATGCAATATGGATAGATATTTACAGTTCGTACTGTACTTCCAAATATTAAATTTTTTATGAAAAATAATTGAAGAATTCTTTAATCTATGTATTGCTTTACAAATTTCTAAATTTGGTGGCAAGTAAAATTATGCTCAGTGATTATATAAGACGGACTTTACCTAAAATATAAATTGTACGTGCGTACATTATTCTTTCTTTACACAAATTAATTTATATTATGTTACTCATATTATAATTATTAAATATATATTTATTTATAAATAAAATAAAATTATCTTTTTACGCTTTTAATAATTCTGGTTAACATCAAAAAATGGGATCCGTATCATATTACCAATAATTTCGTCGACATTTCATTTCACCAACAATTATTGTTGTTTATTTCACCGGAAAGGTCTTTTTTTTTTTTTTTATAAATCACACTAACCTTAACTCTAATTATAAACTGACCCTAACGACAACGGTAAAATATACTTGTCGGTGAATTAATCGTCGGTAAAATAAAATAAACTTGTCGGTGAATTGATTGTGGGTGAAGTGAGCACCACCAATCAAATGGTGGGATATATGGGCTAGATATTAACGTAGATATGGTAGATGCGAGTTAATCTGAAAAAACAGGTCGAAGCTTTGTTGTAACTAAATGGAACTTTTCAAGAATATCCAAAAATGTCTTTGGCATCCAAAATATTTTAACATCTGAAATATATTTTTAACATTAGAAAATGTTTTTCGGCGTTTGAAATATTTTCGGTTTTCGAAAATATTTGGTCATACGATTTTTTTTTTGTCATAGGCCATATCTGTCATATTAAACACTAATAAAAAAAAAATTTTTTTAACTATGACTCTTATTATATTAAAAAAGGTTATAAAGTCATACAATTAACTCTCGATATAAGAAAGAATTTACAAGTCCTAATTAAAAATTTCGATATAGGAAAGGTTTTGACTGAACCTGGCAACTTTCCTATATCAAGGTTCATTTGTATAAACTTCGTTATGATCAAATGATCTATGACATGTCATAGCCAACACTAATATGATATCTTTCAAATAATCAGGATTAAGAGTCTGCAAATCGTGCTTGTACACATGCTAACAAAAACATAGGCAAAGCACCGGCACAATAACACAAAAGTTCTGCACAGGTACAAGAACTCAGCAAGAACTTTTGTAAGTATGGATCAGTGTTTCGGCCTAAACTGAAACTTTCGGCCGGCCGAAACCTAGTTTCGCTAGAAGCCCCAAATCCGAAACTTCCGAAACCTCCGAAAATGGACGAAACCTCCGAAATGGCCGAAACTTCCGAAACTGGCGAAACCTCCGTAACTTCCGAAATAGGCGAAGCTAATAGCAATAAAACCACGAGAATCACCATAACACGTGAAAAATTGAGGATAAGATTACATCCGAAACTTCCGAAACTGGGGCGAAACCTCGAAACTGGACGAAACTTCCGAAATATTCCGCGTGAAACTCATTGACGTAAAATACAAGCAAGGTTGAGAGCAAAGTAGAGCAAATTTCCGAAATGATCCGAAAGAAATCGTAAATATGAATTTTGGAAGCTCAGTTTCGGAGGGTTTCGCCCAGTTTCGGAAGTTTCGGCCATTTCGGATTTTGGGCGATATCGAAACTCCAGGGCCGAAACGTTTCGGACTTTGGGGGAGGATTAGGCCGAAACACTGGTACGGATATAAAATTCCAGGCACTAGTTGGAATTTCAGTGCCATGACCTCTTGTGTCCATGCTTTGCTTTCTTTAATAGCTCCTGGTACTCTGTGCCAGTGCCTATAATGTGTCTGGAAAATTTTGTACAAGTGAATCTTGATATAAGAAAGTTTCCAGACCCAGTCCTATATCGAAGTTTTCTTATATCAAGAGCTTTTTATAATTAGGACTTGTAAAATCCTTCTTATATCGAGAGTTTCTTATATCGAAAGTTTCTTATATCGAGAGGTACTTGCAATTGGATGACTAAGATATGTCATGATCTTATGACACAGATCCTATTAAAAAATTCGAATGTTTTTTAAGACTTCTAGCGATGATTTCACAATAATACTTGATCAAATTCACAAAAGTTCATAATCATCACTAAAAGTTAAAAAAAAAATCTTGGAAAAAACTAAAATCGGGTAAATTTTTCCTTTGAACATTAAACAAAGATTTCTCAGCAACCAACAATTCAAATATGATGAAAAATTTTTATTTTGATTCTGTGAGTTCATATAATTAAATAAAAAGAAAAATTGATTGAGTTAGGATAGCAAGTAAGTTGATGAAAAAATATTCATTAAAAGTCAAAGAAAAATTTAGCGCAGCTTTTTTTTATAGGCACCTAAAGTTTGAACGAAGATTACCTGATCAAATTCGATCAATTTTTTTTTTTTATTTTAATTCTTCAAGCGCATAGAATTAAAAAAAAAGAGAGAGAGATCGAATTTGATCAGATAAGTGCTGAGTAATCTTCTTTCAAAGTTTTGATGTCTTAAAAAAATTAACCATAGCTACCGCAACAAATTGGACCGGCAGATCCTCGATTTTGATTGGTTAACGGCCGAGGATCTTCAAAATTTTGGCCCACTTTACAAAATTGGTTACTAATTTCCGGCCGGAATTATCTTTTTAATTTTTTCTTACAAAAATAGAAATTCTTAAAAAATAAGCCCGCATTATGGTAAAATTGACCCAGAAACAATTTTCATAATTTTGTCGATTTTTTGATCGTCGCTCTTAGCCAATCAAAATCGAGAATCTGCCGGTCCAATTTTGTTGCGGCACCTATGGTTAAAAAAAAAAAGAAGCTGCGGCCAAATATTTTTTAACTTTTAATAAATATTTTTCAGCAACTTGCCATTCAAATTCGATCAAATTTTTTTTATCTTAATTCTATGAACCTACGGGATCAAAATAAAATTTTTTTCATCAAATTTGAATAGTTGGTTTGCGAGAAATCTTTGTTTAAAGTTCAAGAAGAAAAATTTACCTGGCACAGAATCCAAACGTGCTGTCTGTTCCCCTAGTTCCATTATAGCCTTCAGTAACGCATATAGATTGACTGCATGTGAAATAATTTTGGCCAAAATGATGGCACTTATAATTAGTATGACACGGATTTGGATCGCATGATCGAATATTTGATGAAAATAATGCATCCTTATATTTCCATTTCGTTAACGTGATTGTATATTAGTTCTAATGATAAGGATTGAAAATGAAAAATTATACTAACTTTTTTAAACAGATGAGGATTAAAGATCATTTAGTTTTAAAGTTCAATAATTTTAGGGACCTGATATTTCCACACCCCATGTAGATCACTCTTTTTTTAAAACTTCGATAGAAGGTATTTCGGCAACTATATAACCAAATTCGATGAATTTTTTTTTTATTTGAGTTCTACAGTTCTGTAGAATCCGAATAAAAAAAAAAAAAAAAGTTCATCGAATTTGGTTGGATAGATATTGAGATACTTTCGATCAAAGTTTTGGAAAATTTTAACCGTCTATTAAAATATTAGTCGCGGCAAGATTGTTTATGACATTGATCGAAGGTATCTTGACAACCATCCAACCAAATTCATCAAATTTTTTTATTTGAATTCTATAGATCCGTAGAATTCAAATAAAAAAAAAGTTCATCAAATTTGGTTAGGTGGTTGCCGAGATATCTTCGATCAATCAAAATATTAGCTGCGATATATGTTTTTTTTTCGACTTTGATCGAAAGTATCTCAACAATCATCCATCCAAATTTGATGAGCTTTTTTTTATTCGGATTCTACATAAATGTAGAACTCAAATAAAAAAAAAATCCATCGAATTTGGTTATGTAGTTGCCGAAATACCTTTTATTGAAGTTTTAAAAAAAGAGTAATCTACATGGGGGTGTGGAAATAAAAAAAACGGGTGTGGAAATATCAGGCCCTAATTTTAATATAACTTTTTTAAAGCTCTTTTATTATTATTATTATATATATATATATATATATTTCCTAAAGAATATTTTATTAAACTATATAAATACAGAAATAAAATGTAAAATTCAAAATGAATTATTGGACAATCAGTTGATTTCCTATGAAATTACTCATTGATCCATATCGATATAAGATGATTTTTGCGGGCTAGTGCGATATTTATTGCATAGAATATTGGCATATCTAATAAACATAATGCAGGTCATTAATTATTAATTAATTTTTTTATATAATTTAATGGTGTAGTGGTAGTACTGTATAAATAGTAAAAATAAATAAAATTTAGATTGCAATAACTCTTATAAAATTATTTTTGAATTTACACCAATGTACTCTTTAAAGTAACAACACCTTTTTTTTATTTATTTTTTATTTTTTGAAGCATAGGAGGACTTAGTTTTCACGAGAAATTGTCATTTTTGATATTTTTTAGTAAAACATCAAACGTAACTTTAAACTTTTTGTATTGTATTATGCAATAGTGATCGATAAAAGATTTGAAGTTATGTTTTTGATGGTTTAATTAAAAAACATTAAAACGACCATTTTATATGGAAATTAGGTCACTATTAAAAAAGGGCGTTGTTATTTTTTAAAAAAATACTCCAATGAATACGACAAGTATAATTTTATTTGTGTGAGTAAATCTTTTTTTTTTTACTATTTACGTTACCACTACGCCACCGCTGATTATAAAAAAATTTGATTAATGATTTTCACTATACACCTGCACTATGTATGTAATTAATATTCATTAGACACCCAATACAGATGCGAATGCATATTATTATTGCTCATCATGTGCCCCTTCCTCGCACATAACAGTCGTGATCAACCAATCTCATATCTACGTAGTACAATATGGGATAGGGTTGCCAAACAAGCTGCAGGAGGTCACGTGAGCAGACTTTTTCGAGCATCGCTTACTTTCTTTTTTCTTCTTTTTTCTTTTTTGGGAGTGGTGGGAGAGATAGCTTAACATACTGTCGAGCAGAAAATTCAAACGACAAAGATGACAATAGATCATCAGGTTAATCAAATACCATTTCCGTCATGAACAAGTCCTGTGACTCATTTGTCACATGGAATGTCCAGTGACTCGCAATAATATACCGCCTTGTGATTCTGTTCACAAGCGGATCATTATTATTGCTCATCATGTGCCCCTTCCTCGCACATAACAGTCGTGACCAACCAATCTTAAACCTAAGGTCACGTCCTCTCAAGTGTCATTATATCTACATAGTACAATATGGGATTTTTGCTGAGAATCAAGAAGTTTTCTTTTCTTTTTTTTTTTTTCTGGCACCTCCCAGATTGCATGCTGATCTTGCAAATCGATTGTATTCTATGGGGTGCTCCTGGAACGTTCATCTACCTCTAAAAGGAATTGCTACTTTTCTCGATACCCATACCTGCACCACAATGTCAGAGAGCAGTTTCAAGCCTACCTACCCATGGTCCACAACCTGTCCCTGTGCATTTCATACTTTCAATCTCTATTCCCTAACAGCAATCACCTCATGTGCCTCCTGTTAAACATCACTAACTCTTCCTGACAATTTTGCCTGTCTAATTCAAGAGCAGTGTGAGGTGTACACATCTGCATTTGTATACTTCCATCAAGCATGACAATATGCGTCCTATGCCTACCTACCCAAAAGCCAACAACCTGTTCCTAAGCAACTCATGCAGGGGGTCCCCGAATTTCAGGTCTGGATACCTCAGAGTGCATCAGAAACCTGATTAGCTGGATCAGAACTAGATCTGACACATCTACCCTGGAAAATTTTCGAGATAGCCCTGTAAAAAACTTTTTGAGCATTTCTTCTTCTTTTCGCATTTAATTTCTCTTCTGCAATGCCCTACGCCATGTGTCCGGGGAGTCGCAAAATCAGGTCAGGATACATTGGAAAACATATCAGAATCCTAGTCTGCTAGATCAGAATTGATCAATTTGTCCCAAGATTATAACAAACCTTAAATGTGCCCTGATAATTTTACTATAGGACTTGCTACCAACTAGGCTAAATGCCACCCTAGCTCTGATCCATCTGATCCCAAAATCTCTGTAAAATCATGTGAATCTGCCCTAACTTCTAACGTCAGAGTGCAGTTGTAAAACTACCTACCCAGGCCAACAACCTGCCCTGAGCATCTATGTTCAAATTTTTTTTTTTTTTTTTTTTTTACAAAACGTGCTCATCATTTGTATACCTATTTTAGACATATGTGTCCTGATGCTTACGCAGTATGAACCTATAATCCCGATGTCAGGAAGCAGTTACACAACCTGCAATCTGTTTCTGAGCACCATTCCATATTGGGGCCCAAAAAATTTTCCAGGTCGGGATATGTTAGATTGCATCAAATCATGGTCAGCTGGATCGAAGTTGATTAATTTTGACCCAAGATCATTCATATCTATTCATTAAAATGTCCACTAACACTTTACTTTAGAACCTGCCAACAACTAGGCTAAACCCTAACATATCTGATCCATAAATCGGATATACCCCTTGCACAAATTTCCTGAACGCATTCCTTTTTCTTTCTTTCTTTTTTTTTTTTTTTTTTTGTTACTCAGGTCACCACATGCCTCTGCAAAGGCTTTTATGTACTCTCCCAAACCTATTTCATTCTCATTTATATCTTATCAAAGCACATTACCATACTAACTATCCTGTACACATTGTAGATGTAGAGCAAGGTGCTATGCAAGACCTTTACAAGTCCGCGAACCTGTTTTTCTTTTTTTTTTTTTTTTTTTTGATCAAAGCAGATTTCTGTACTAAATATCATATAAGCATTTTGGAGCTATTTGCCGAGCCAGATCACCTATAAGTCAGCACGCATGACCCAAACCTTTTACATTGAGCAAGTTGCCGATCAAGATCCTTTTCAAATTAGTACACATAATCCCAAAAGCCCTTTTTTTTTTTTTTTCGATTCCAAATTTGACTAAGTATCGTCCATGCATTGTGGAGCAGGTTGCTGAGCCCAACCATGCACAAGTCAGCACGCATGACCCAAACTTTTTACATTGAGCAAGTTGCTAAGCAAGATCCCTTTCAAGTCAGCACGCATAATCCCTTTTTTTTTTTTTTTTTTTTTTTTTTTTTTTCGATGCCAAATTCCGACTAAGTATCGTCTATGCATCGTGGGGCAGGTTGCTGGGCCCGCCTATGCACAACGCCTCAAGCCGGTCCCCAACCCTTCCGCT